GCTATGGTCAACAGGGGTGCATGGGGGGGTGCAAAAATGACGTTTATCTAATTCTAACCAACTTATGTTAAGGAATACTGGAATTCAGTTGCATATCACTAGTTTACAATAGCGGAATAGCCAATATTAAATATTTTGAATTTTTAAATGTTTTGAGAATCTAAAAATTTTCCAGAATTTTTTCTCAGAATGCTGCAAATGCCATTTCAGAGACCCAAATTTTCTGGGGGAGTATGCCCCCGGACCACCCTAGAAATCTTGCGCCTTCTCTGCTTGTTTCACCATTGGTTAGCACCCCCCCCCCAAAAAAAAAACTTTGCTGGATCCACCACTGGAAAAATAAGGTAGAGTCAAGAGGACAAGAATTCCATATTAATATATAATTAAAGACATATGCACACATTACTGTAACACACTGATCAAGGTCGGATTTTCGTGAAAATAATGGGAGAGGTGGAAACAAACTTAGGGTAGGTGCAGTGGTCTAGCTCACGACCCCCATGGAAAGTTAGGGATTAGAACGGGCCAAAGGGCGCTTTCCTTTAACACGGCCAAACCGGTCAGAACAGTCAAATTGTTGAGTGAAACACAAAACATTTGGGCTTCGGACCTATCTGACTGGAAAATTTTGATAACATTAGAATAAGGTCCATTTTCGCTAGATATTTATAGAGAAACATAGACCAGATCTTTCCATTGATACAGAGAAAAGAATTCGGGTCTGACCGATCAGACCAGTAAATGGAAAGCCCCCAAAGACATGATATGTGCATGTAGTGTACATACTGTACGTATTAATGAATTGTGACTGTACAACTCATCCAAAGTTTCTTTCAAAACATTGCATTAAAAGAGTACTTGACACAGAGATGAATAGCTATCACTGTCAATGTCAAATTTTCACTTTGATCTATCATTGAAACTTTCCCAAGGAGAGGTGCATGACTTTTCAGGGGAGGTGCAAAAATTCTCAGGGGAGGTGCAAAACGATCTCGGGGGAGGTGCGGATCTCCCCACAAATCCGGTCATGACACTGATATATTTGAATTAAGAGCAACAAGTTGGATTGTAGGAATGACACTTGGAACAAATAACAATAAGTCTTCCAAGTGGGCATTCGATTGACGTCATAGGTAGGTTCAAGTAAAGAAATACATAAAGAATAAAGATAATAACATTAATATACCACTGTTTGAAGACTGTTTCTTTTGCCTCGCTCGCGAATTCTGAAACCAAACTTGCGTAACACGTTTGCTTAATCCAGTTTGCTTGGCAATCCTTTCAAGATCGTGACCGTCCGGGTTTGGATCCAGATTAAAGTTTGCGTTTAGTATTTGAAGTTGATCTTCTGAGAAGGTCGTACGAATTCTTTTCGGTTTTAGCAGTGATCCTTGTTCTGTTGGAATAACAAAGAGAGAACGATTTATGCGAGGGCACCTTTGAATTAAAGAGGAGCGCGTTGACTGTACACGCAAAAACGCGCAATTTAGTATTATTTATTATTATTTTTCAAAAATTAAATTCCCTTGTCGGGCTTTTCAGATTAATTCACAAAAAATACAGACAACCTATTTACATGATTGATATCAATCAAGATACAATATCTAAAAGCATATTTTGTTTCAAATATTTCTTAAAAATATTAAAACTGTACTATAGTAATGTTTTCGAAATTCCTGTCTAAATCGTTCCATAATTTTGTTGCTCGCACCGCTTGTTTCCAATTGTTGCGACAAATTTGTTGACACCTTAATTGTTACAACGTTGATGACGGTAACAGACTTGCTACAAGTTGTTCCAACAAGACTATAATATAAGCTGTTCGCAACAAGTTGCTGCGAGCTTGTTCTCATCAACTTGTTACGTTACAGACGATACATCAGACTTGCTGGAACAACTTGTTGCGAGTCTGTTTGGCCTCATTAACCTTGTTGCAAGATGATAACAACTTGTTCCAAACTTGTCAACAACTGAAAAGCGAATCTGGTATCGTAAATAACTAAATTAGCCAACCATATTGCTTTATTTTGCTCACATGATAATACTGGATACCTGGTGAAGTATATCATCCAATCCTAGGACTGGATCAAAATTAATTCACTTCACTTTGAGCAATGATTTATTCGTATGAAATGTCATTTCAAATCCAATTCGGACTGGACTAAATTTCAAGTTGTCGCAGTTTAATCTAGTCGTCGGCTTCGCTTTGGACTTGAAATCTAGTCCAGTCCTCATGGTCGGATTTAGATAGATAGATAGATAGATAGATAGATAGGTAGAAACTTTTATTTATACACGCCGACCCCGTCAACCGAAGCTGATTTCCACGAGGGGCGTGTGCCAAAAAATTGAATAAGATTTTTACAAGTACAGGAAAGTGATAGAGCTATTTACAAAGGTTTTAAGAGATATAGAGTATTAAAATAGTAACATATTAATGAGTATTAAAATAGTAACATATTAATGTCTAATGAGAAAGTTGGCAGACTATTTACAGGCACATTATTTACAATACTTATTATTCATAAATGTGAGCAGCGATTTTATTTCGAAAGGAAGAAAGTGATTTGCTTTCCCTAATTTCTTTTGGAATAGAATTCCAAAGTTTAGCTCCGTTGTACATGAACTATTTTTCATGTTATTAGAACGAGGTTTTGGTAAACAAAGACCAGTTGAAATGTCCAGAAGGTGATAGTTTGTTTTCTCATATTTATAAGAAAATAGATTTGTGAGTGATTTGGGACCCATTTTATTTAATACTTTGTACATCATTTTTGCTTTAGCTTTCTTCCTTAATGTTTTGAGTGGTTCCCAATATTTTAGTAAAAGTTAGTTCCACCTACCCTCATTGCTAGGACAAAATACGCTGGCCTCCAACAACTCAATATAATGAACCTTGCAGTAGACCCTCGTATCTTGTAATGCGAACTCCTCTCCCGTAGACAACTGTCTAGCACAAATTGCGCACGAAAAACACGCCAAGTGATAAACATTATTCCTTGCTTTGCGCACCCAGTCGCTGGCTTGAATATTCCGTAAGCAACTTGAACACTTAGCTCCAAATTCCCTAAAGATGCAGAAATAGTATGAAACAAGTTGGAAATGAGAATTATTTTTGTGTGTGTCCGCAAGTGAGAGTCCCAGATAAGCAAAATGCTTTTGACTCAAACTTGCAATTTTGTTGTAAATACTTTTTTCCCTATTTTTGTTATTAAAATATGTTTATATCAAATGAGAATTCAAAAAGGTCGCCTCGACAGCAGAGTTTTAAGAATGAAACAGATTTCCTAATCTCCTGTTTCCTATGATCCGTTCGTTATAAATGTCTTACCTCGCATAATCCGCTTTGCAGTATATCTTTTTATCTTTTGTATAACAACTCGTTTCCAGTCCCAAATCACACTGGCACATACAGCATTTTAGACAACGTACATGCCAACAAGTCTCGGCAACTTTCAGTAAATAACGGTCCGTCACGACATCATCGCAGCCTGAACATCTGTCTGATTGAGACTAAAACAAGATCAAGATAGAAACTCAAGGCTTGAGAGTCTGATCGAGACTAAAACAAGATCAAGATAGAAACTCAAGGCTTGAGAGTCTGATCGAGACTAACGCCCGTATTCTAAAAGCTCACTCACACTCACGCTGAATGAGTGGAGGTTCAATCTGAGCTTCTATTGAGTGTCAATGCTGTTTTTGAATAGCTGGAGGATGAGTAGTCACATAGTAAGGTACGACACTAACCCTCCAGCTATTCAAAAATAGCATTGAAACTCAATAGAAGCTCAAATTGAACCTCCACTCATTGAGTGTGAGTGAGCTTTTAGAATACGGGCGTAAAACAAGATCAAGATAGAAACTCAAGGCTTGAGAAAAGACGAAGGGATTTACCCTACGGGAGGAACCCTTGTATAGATCCTAATTTGCGAGGAGGCTCTACAAAATTTGTGACTAAACGAAAAGTAACTTTATACTGGAGAGCTCTGTTAGTCCCAAAGTCTTCTTCCATGAAGTGTAGAAAGGAGTGTGACCGAATTGGAAGCATGTACTCACTCTTCTTATATGGGACCGAGGCAAAATTTTAATCCCGTTTACATGAGACCGGGACGAAGTCGAACCGGAATGAAAATTGAAATTGTCAACATGTTTACATGAGACCGGTACGAAAATCACAAAATTTTCAATTTATTCCCCTTGCCAGGCAATTTTCTTTTTTAGATGACTTTTGTTAGCATGTGTTGTTCCAATGTCAAGGTTACAGCCGAGACCGCTCTGAAATGTATTTGTGTTTACATTCATCCCAGTCTTGAATTCATACCGGTCTGAAGTCAGTCGGCTCGGTCCAGCAGGCGGACCGGTCTGAGTTATTTTCGACCCTGTCTCATGTAAACAGATTATAAATAACACCATGACCGAAACGAAATGGTCCCGGTTTGTCTTCGTTCCGGTCCCATGTAAACGGGGCCTAAAAATCGGACCCGGGCCGCACAGGTGAAAAACACGCGCATGCGCCACGAAAAGTTATCTCCTTTTTTAGAAAGCACAACGATTATTCATTTCGGAATACTTCCGATCTGTTGGTTCGGATCTTCATCAGTTTTGCTACTATATTGTTTTCTTTCAAATAACATTATTTCCTTATAATCATATATCATTCATGTAATATTTATCTATACACAACAACATGTCTGATATTTCATTATTTAGTCAACACCTCTAATTGCGGGCCAGTATAAATAATAACAGATCAAATATTTCTGTATGTTATTCGACATTCAGAAAAATATCTGAATGACTATTGTATTTTTAAGGTATAGTTGTATTGGCAATACACACTGGCACAGAGTAGGCATATATTACATTTGACATTGACACTGCTGCTTGTGACAATAATTTCAATTTCTATAATTGATTTCAACTAAACTAACTTTAATTATACTGGATATAGCCAAGCTATCAGTGCTAAACTGTTTTCCTTGTAGAGGTCCAGTGAAGACTATCTCTCTTTGTTCCAAGCTAGACTGAAAATCTGAGGTGTTTTGGTAGAGTCAAACTGGAAGCACTCGTCTCGTGCAATCAAGGCCAAATTATAATCACTTCCGCGAGATTTTTAGGCATTTCGTTCGATATAATTAATAGTATATAGTTTTTTGTCGATGCAATTTTTGAACGCAAGAGATTAGATTTTCCCCAACTTCATGTTCCTGTCCAGAATTAAACAACAGCAAATTGCAGCAATCGAACCTCGGTTTATATAATATTTATCAACATACAACCCCATATCTCATTTCATTATTTAGTTAACGCCTTTAATTGGATTGCCAGTATGAAAAGATAATTTTTGCCACGGCACCAACTCTTATAGAATAAAAATATTAGACATTATACCGGCCGGGCCCGAATCTTAAATCATTTTCACATAAAAACAAACTTGTCACCTGCATGTGTCTTACAAAATACTTTTGTTCAAAAATCTTTGAAAAAAAAACTCGAATGACTTACTGTAACTTGCTCACTAACAGGATGAGTTAGAATTCCAGAGGAGATGTCCATAGGCTCGTCGTCCTTAGGTTCTATAAAGAAAAAATTTAAAATAAACCCCCAAGTCTGATAGTCCACTGAAAGCCTTTGCGAAAAAAACAGGATCGGGCGCATATAGCCTTGCTTTTTATTGAATCTCTATATATTTTGACCAGCTGGCAACTTGACTCGTCCCATAATGAGATAGTTTGTGATTGGTTGAAAATAACAGTCACGCGTGTTGTATATTCTAGTATTCACAGCCGTATTCATTGGCAAACAATTAGAACAAGTCGTAAAAACAATGTTGACCGCTAACGAGTTTTTGCTTTTGTCGTGCAAATCCAGGTTGTTGATTCAACACACAACGCGATAAGAAAGGCACTTGTTCTTAGGCCGAAAATTCTATTTAAATCTTGAGTATGAATAAGGAAACAGCCGCGGCAAAACACACGGACCTTTCGTCGAGACGAACTCACAGCGTATAGTTTGTCTCCCCCAAATGAGACAATAGCAGGCAATATTTTGCTCAACTTCGTCCAATAATTGATAATTATTGCTTCCCAGAACAATTGTCAGTGCTATTCTAACTATAGATAAACGATTGAAGCGTCAGACCACCGAATTCTTGCCTATTTAAAAAAGGCTACGTTTATACCGGACAGCTTTATCTCCGTAGCGGCGCGAAAAAGCACCTATATCCGATGTACGGAATGTACAACTTTCAGAAGCTGAGCGAAACAACATCTCTCTGACTCTGTTGCAAAAATTCCTCTGAAAATACCGTTTCTAAAAGGTACGGATATGTGTTTTTTTTCACGTCGCTACGGAAAGCTTATCCGGTACAGTATAAATATTGCCCGTTGATTCGAGAGCTCAATGGGCAGACTAGACACCCGAAAGTATGAGTTCGAATCTCCGTTCGAGACAACGAATTTTTCGTTGTGCTCTGGAGTGTATAAGAATAAATGTGAGACTAATTTTACTCTGAGACTGAGGATAGTTCTGAATTTTTCTGAAACAGAAATGTATATTTCATTATTCCATTAACTCAATTGGCAGAGAGTCGAGTTTAGGGGTTCGATCCCTCGTGTGGGATTCAGGATTTTTTCCCTGGGCCCTTCAAAGAACTCGCTAAAGCGGCACGGTATGCAGGTTGATTCCTAAAGCCTGGTATATATACACTATCAAAGTTTCTGTGATCACAGTAGGAATTTTGCATGGGTAAATTCTAAGTTTTGAAGGATTCACTGAAGTGTTTGAGGGAAGTGGCTCCGTGTTAACATTAAGTCAATTCCCTCAAACATTTCCTACAAATCCTTCAAAACTTTACCGATGCAAAATTTCTACTGTGTTCACAGAAAAAACCCCCAGCCTTATACAGTGATAGTGCATGGGCGGTTTCATCAAAATATTCTAGTTGTTTTTTTTTACGTTAATTCTGTAGGTGTTGAATACGCTGGCGTGGGTTTGTGTAGGAAAAGTTTTAAACACTTCGATTTTTTTAGCCAAGGCCAAGGGCTTCGTAGGAGCCACTTTTGGCTATACTGTATACCTCTTGAATAAATGTTTCTATTTTTTTTCCAAGTAGAACACTACCTACACTGAGCAGTCGTCAGAGTGGGCGCCTTTCACACCTAAGGTCGTGGGCTCGATTCTCGCTGGGAGACAACTTGTGCATGTAATCTGAAGGCCACGTTTACACTTGTACAGGATCGCTTTCCGTATAACGACGTGAAAAAACCCCCACATATCCGTACCTTTTAGGAACGCTATTTTCAGAGGAATTATAGCAACGGAGAGATGTTGTTTCGCTCAAATTCTGAAAGTTGTACATTCGGTATCGGATAGGCGCTTTTTCGCGCCGCTAAGGGAGGTTATCCAGTTAGCCTAAGATTCATTCAACGCTCTGCCGAAATTCTTGGGGTTGGTTTATGTACTGTCGTTTTTTCATATGGAGAAAATTAATCGGGTGGATTGTTGGTTGTATAAGCATCGCAACCGCTCCTGGTTAAGTCTGATAAATGTATAAATTTCACACTTAAATTCCATATACAAAACCCATCTACAGTAGTGTGGGATAATACACAAATCATGCTACATACAGTGTATAGCAGGGGCATTGATTGGACAGCGATGATACTGTTGCATAATGTAATGAAATATTTAAATCTTCTACGCAACTGTGAAAGCCATATATCGTTAGTACACCCATTTTTGACAGCCATGCTTCCTCCACGTGTCCTCAATGAGAAAAACGTGTCAACGTTTGGTGTGAAAATTATTGTTAAATTTTGGCTCGGAACTAGGCTACAAACCTAGAGTTTTAAACCTACAATCCTACAAATGAGAATTGATTGCCCAATATCTTGTGAATGTTGACAATGCTGTCGTGTTGTGTTGCCTTGATATAGACTATGAAAAGGATTTTATTTTTGTGGAGGTAGCCAATCTTTGCCAGCCCAGAGTAATTCTGGACTAGGGTTAGATAACTAGCTCCCCTAGGCTACAAACCTAGAGTTTTAAACCTACAATCCTATAAATGAGAATTGATTGCCCAATATCTTGTGAATGTTGACAATGCTGTCGTGTTGTGTTGCCTTGATATAGACTATGAAAAGGATTTTATTTTTGTGGAGGTAGCCAATCTTTGCCAGCCCAGAGTAATTCTGGACTAGGGTTAGATAACTAGCTCCCCTAGGCTACAAACCTAGAGTTTTAAACCTACAATCCTATAAATGAGAATTGATTGCCCAATATCTTGTGAATGTCGACAATGCTATCGTGTTGTGTTGCCTTGATATAGACTATGAAAAGGATTTTATTTTTGTGGAGGTAGCCAATCTTTGCCAGCCCAGAGTAATTCTGGACTAGGGTTAGATAACTAGCTCCACATGATATTGGGTGTGGGGGTGGGTGTAAGCCCTCTCAACTCTGAAAGTCCAGAAAAGATTGTTGTAAAGTCATTATATTTTGTAAGTCATACTTATTTGTGTAAACTAGTGTAGTCAGTTTGGATGCAATCTGTTTGCAAATTTGCCTCAGAAAATGCCAGAAATGCAGTCTCTTGAAAAACTTAGTATTATAATCAGAAAAAGCTCTATTATAATTATTACACTTCAGGTAAATTTCAAATTTCACGTCAAATCCTCCGACACCCTCCCAACTCGAGATGCTTCGCTATGTCCCTGTTTAGCAAGCTAGAAAGTTGACTTGTAATTCTAGGATTCTAAAATCAACTAAGATTTGAATCCACATTTTAAATTTGGAGTTTGTGCCTTAGACTATAGAGGAACCATCACTCCATGACTCCCCTAACTTCTGCAGCCATACCATGAATTAGGATTCAGAAATCAGTCAGTTCTTTCCCTTTATGATAAAATCTATGTACAACAGACAACACAGATCGTTTTTCCCATCTATTTTTCAAGTTTTATTAGTACATTCTGTTTGCTGTCTTGGTTTCATTGCCAACCTCAGTGTAATGTTACAGTAGGCTGTTGTAGTATTAAAAAATATCAAGATACCCGATCCAACATTGGCCAGCATTACCCAACATAGTGTTCGAACCAGGCCAACATGTTGTATTCAACAATGTTGAATGACCACGGTAACCTTGTTTCAACAGGCAATTAAGCCTGGTTCACAATAGCGATTTTGTCGGGGATTTTCCCCTCCTGATAAATGCGAATGAGTGAATAGACCTTTCCCCTTATGAGTGAAATTTTGATCTAGATATGCCTGGGCAACAATTTCATCACAGCTTGAAAGAGCATCACAAAATTAGTAATATTCCGAAGTTTCGTTGCGAAATGTTGTAAAATGTGGATAATATAGTCTTGCAAAGTTTGCCGTTTTTCAGTCATTTTGCATTACAATCTAACATTTTCCATCAGTTTGATCATCTGATTATCAATTTCCCATTTGTAATACCAAATGACTGAAAAACGGCAAACTTCGCAAGGCTATATTATCCGCATTTTACAAAATTTTGTGATGCTCTTTCAAGCTGTGATGAAATTTTTGTCCACACTTGTCTAGATCAAAATTTCACTCAAAAGGTCTATTCGCAGCCAAAAGTATGGAATCGAGTATGAAGTCTTTGGCATGTCGTTCAGTCACATCTTCCAGGAGGAGAATGAATGAATATTCTACATTCAACACCAAAAATACCGAACTGATTTGAAATTTTCGGTCTGTCCATATTTTAAAAATATAATACTGAATAACCGACAGTTATCGATATCTTAACTATCGATATATCGGCTATACTATTACAAACTACCCCAAGGGTATTTTATAGTGTTGATCTGTCTGAGGGACTGAGGCAGATCAATCATCTGTATATATAGTTACTCAGAATCAAAGAGTATAGGCTAATTTCTCTAGCAATAAAGCTAGAAAACAGACCTAAACCAACTTTATAGTTAAGCAGCACACAGCCAAATACACAAAGTTTATAAAATAGCCTACAAAATTCATTCGTCAACACAGACGGCAATAATGAATATAAACATTTATATGTACCGACAGCATATTCACATAAATATAAAAGCAACAAACTTAGAAAAGCATTATTAAGCTAATTTCAGATGTATGTTAGATCGTGATTTATACAAGCATACCTGTAGTGCCTTTGACAACCATTTTAAAACGATATTTTCTGACAATTTTTGAACTAAAACTGATACAGTTCGATTCAAATAACTCCGGGCAATTAGTGTTAATTTATTCACCTTTGTCAGGGGGGGGGGGCCGAAAACTGCTGACCGAACGCAAATCCGGTAACAATAATATGACTAGAATAAAACGCGTAATATATAAGGTGAAACCCTGTCCGTATTAGAGAGGTGTCCGTACTAGAGAGAAATCCATATTAGAGAGGTGTCCATATTAGAGAGAAGCCCATATTAAAGAGGTGTCTGTGTCCGAATTGTATGATTTGTCCAAAAAGATTTGTCCAAAAATCCGCCCGAATTGGCTTCATTTTTCATAGGGTTTATCCAGTCTGTTATGAGATCAGTTTCATTTTCAGACTGCGCTCAGGTCATATGTCTAAAATAATAAAATGTCTAAAATTTGAGGTCGAAATTACCATCTACATAAGCTCTTCAACAAGTAGTTCTATCGATTAAAATGCCCAAATATAATGATATGGATATTCACCCAGTTATAGTAGCCTATCAAAAATGAAGCCAATTAATTCGAGCAAGATTTAGAGCCGAGAAAAAAAGGCCGTCTAGATTCATTTTGGCTAACGTGTTTATACATGATGTTTGCGATGTTACTCTGAGTGTATATCCAAACCGAGCGAGCTTGAAAAATATGCCCGGCCACGGTGGGAATCGAAACTACGACTTTTGGAACACTAGCCCAATGCTCTGCCAACTGAGCTACACGGTATCGATAAACACGTTCATATACTCAGTTAGAGACGAATACTTAGAGAAAAAGTTGAAGGTATGGACAACAGGATCCCATCATAATAGTTGACAATAGTTACTACACGCCTAAAGACACAAGCACACATTTAACATACTGATACATTTGAACCAATAGTCAATACTAACATGATAAGTAGATGGACCCAATCCTCGTACAAGTACAACTTGGGTTGTAGGAACAACACTGTACACTACATTTGCTCTTAGAATGACCCAAATTTGATTACACATACCGAAAATCATACTTGGTGTTTATAGTGGCACTTTAAATATCAGTGCTGACCCATTACTAGGCAATATGCTAAAACCGTTAACCGGTAATCACCAGATATCAGGAAACAAATACTAAATATAAAATGCTCCCTACATGAGAAGAGAACGTTCGAGATTTTAATATTCATAGTAGCTGAGCTCAACCCCCGCGCCGTATCTTAGGATTAACCATAGTAATACATAGTAAACAAATTTTAAATGGAGGTCACTTCCTTTCCCAGATATTTTTCGAAAAAGTATTTTATTGCAGGTTGATGATAATATCGGTATACTGGATTTCTTTGTTGATATTTGAGGCTTTTAATATTCTAGTATAGTGGTCTTTCATGATATACTTAGCCAATTCAACTCAAGTGGTTTTTCAAAAAATCCGCAGGCGTACCACACAATAGACTTCTCTTTTTTAAGAGTTGAAGTGGAGCTAAATTTAAACTTCGTCGAAGAGGGATTCAACTAGCCGAAAAAAGAGAAGTAAAACTTCTTAAACATTCTTCTTCGCTAACTAAGGTTCTTAACCATAGGTTCTTATTTTCTTAAGAGAAAAGCGACTCATTTTCAGGGAGGTATATGCGTGGTATATGATTTATATAAATTATGCACAAATGATCTAAAACTAATGACAATGTATGCACTATACCAACTCTATATCCACTCTAAAGCTACACTGATTGTAACCATGGCCTACCATAGATATCTCATATAAACTAGATAGCGTATCTCTTAGTTTAGTAAAATTAAAGCCAAGAATATTACAGCGGTTACCCCCATTTGAATAGATGGCGGCCATGTTGAAGTTTCCCACTCGCTAATAAACACTTAAAAAACAACAATAACTTTCATCATTTGAATAGTTTGAAAATGTATTTGGAATAGGTTTAACTTAATGTTTAAGTTCCCTGAGTTTAAGAAATAGAAAACATGCGAGTTTTCTCATTTCATGGGAATATCCTGAGTCTGCAATTACAGCTTAGATGCATTATCTTAGTGTATATAAGATATCTATGGGCCTATCGAAGGGGAGATGGCTGTGAAACTCATTAGAATAACAATACAACTCATTATCTATGTTAGTCAACGTTTATTCATAAATCTGGTCCTTTCACCGTCAGTTTCCCTATTGTTCGAGTCACGGATAGGTGACTTTCCTTAAACATTCCTATTGGTTAGTTGGGTAAAAATCCAATACACACGTGACGGTGAAGGACCATATTATGAATAAACGTTGACCAACATAGATAATAGTTACATTGTTATTCTAATGAGTTTCACAGCCATCTCCCTTCGATAGGCTATGTTGTAACGTATGACTTAATTTTGACTCTATTTGATAATGTAAGAATCTACTTTGAAATTCTAGCCTGAACAGGTTCTTATTGAAAGGGGGTTTAAATAAAATATTTTAGCCTAACAGGTTCTTAAATTCTAGGTTCTTATATGCTGCGGGGTTTTACAGTGTAACAGCAGTGGTGTATATCAAATTTGCACCCGATAAGTATATCTGAACACCTATATATTTATAACATGCACTTATTATTGCATGGGTGTAAATATCACGATTGATCAGTGTATTTCAGTGTGAATGAATATAACTGGAACGCTACCTTCAGATAAACTGCCTTGCGATTCTCTCGAGAGACCAGTTCAAGGATAGGATAGGATAAAACTTTATTTGACTACCCTGGCCACTTCAACCGGAACAGCTTTCCAAGTGGGGCGTAGATAAATTATGTTACAATAATATATAAAATACAAAATCACTAATAATATTAAAAACTATACGAATACAAAATACCTATTACAAAACAAATGGTACAGCAGTGAAATAGCTAATTCGTCAGACTAACAGAGGAAATATTTCTATTGAAAGAATTTAAAGATTCGCTGTTTCTTACTTGTTCAGGAATGCTATTCCAGATTTTAACCCCACTATATCGAAAACATTTTCTGCCATACTCAGTATTTGGTCGTGGCAGAAAGAGAGACGAATTTGAACCTCGTAAATTATAATTGTGGATATGGTTAGAATTCTGGAACATTGATGAGAACCTCGATGGTGCCAAATTATTGACAACCTTAAACATGAGCCGGGCCATAATTTTGTTTTCGCCCTTCTTCCAAGCTAATCCACCCTAATTGATCAAGGCCAAGGGCCAGTTGAGATTGCCCAGGCTCATCTTTAAAGTTCATTAAAATTCTAGCACATCTGTTGTGAAGTTTTTGTAGTGTTCAGACTGGCCTCTATTAATGGAATTCCAACCTTCACAACAGTAGTCGAAATGGGGTTGGCCTACTAGGAAGTTTTACTCGAATAAATATAGTTAATAGTAATAGTACGGTTTCGAGTGTAACTCACGAGTGTATGTTTTCCAAATTGCACGAGAAACCATACTATTAATAATATACATGAAAAAATTATGAAGTCGCATGCGTGCGCTTAGGTAACTCATATGCGAAATAGTTAATTAAAAAAAAACACAACAATTTTAATAGAAAATCTACTAAAAACGCCAGCCATTTTTGTCACTTGTAAATGGTGATTGCTAGATAGTATACTTCAAAATAAGGTTTCCGTTTTTATAACGTAGAAAAAACTATCCTAACACAAAACTAAACTTATTTTAAAAATTGTTATAAAAACAGAAACCTTAGGCTTAGTTTTGAAGTATACTATGTCTAGCAATTGCCGTTGTTGGTAAATGTTTGGTTTTTTGTATTATTTTTTGCTAAAAATGGCTGTATCTTATAGTCAATGAAATTCACACTGTATCTCATTTTTTGGCACTGCATTTCATTTTTGGCACTCAGGCCGATATTTCCGGCATTTTTTGGCACCGCATTTCATTTTTGGCACCGTATTTCGAGAAATTGCACTTCTCTTAGCCAATCAGAATTGAGAAATTATTTCATGTATCTGAATAATGCATGTATAGACAGTTTTCAGCGCTGTCAAAATCCTTTTTCAAATTGTAAGCCGGTTTTCAAGAATACGGATTGGCCGTGCTCTAGTAGCATGCTTGAAAAGACTGGGGCTGGCCTTCAAGTTTGGCTTTGAGGTAGCGTTCCAGTTTATATCATTATTTCACTGGTGTATTTGGTGTTCACTAACAAAAAATGGTGTTAACATAGTATGCACGTTTCACGGAAAATTAGACGCTGTTACTAAACTATTTATTTCGCTTATACTCACGACACGGTGTAGTTTTAACATAGAAATTTTGCGCAATTTATGCAGTTCAGTAGGCCGAAGTAATTTTCAATTGGAAATATTTATACGCTATATGAAATGAATCTTTTGAAGGCGCAGACAAGAAGAACAAGCTCAGCTTCT